CTCCCCCAATAAATGAATAAAATAAAGTAATATTAAAAAATATAAAGCTTCCATTCAAGAGGACCAGGTTTGGGTTTTTGCAGACCAGAGTTTTGGATCCAGAAAGTTCCATCAACCGCCACGATTTTCAGACTTTTATTTGTAAAAAGGAGATGACAAAATCCGCCTCAGAGGGTTGTGGAAAGAAACCGAAGTGAAGTGTGTAAACACACGCAGCACACTACTTAGTAAACATCGCCTGGTGTCGCCACGGAAAAAGCCGCACGAGGCTAAGCTAGGTCTCTGTCGCTGTTGTGGAGGAGTAAGCTAATTCCTGGAGCGTAAGCGCCTGCACCCACACTTCACTTCAGAGAACACGGGGGAAGGGACATGGACTGGTTCCCACACACGGCTGTGCACCGGTTCTGGGGCAGAACCCCCGTAAGATACAAAGAGCAGAGCTGCTGGCCCCTACGGTGTCATACCCAGCGTCGTATGTGGCACCTGTTAAAGTGTCGGCAGACACATTTATGACTGAAGAGCGCAAGTTAGAAACACTGAAAGTCTGTCCAGAGCCAGCCTAGGTCAAGAAATTAACATTTTACAGTGGATGGGGGATGTGGTGGCTTTGAAGCTGTTAAATCCAGATGTGTGCTTCAGGCACAGTTGAATCCAGGGGCAAAGAGATATACATAGCAATCTTCTCTTAGCTGGGCATGGTGGCACATGCCTGTAATCCCAGCACTGGGAAGGCAGAGGCAGGTGAATCTCTGTGAATTCGAGGCCAGCCTGGTCTATAAAGCAAGTCCAGGACAGAAACCCTGTCTAAAAAAAAAAAAAAACGCGATCTTCTCTTTTGGCCTGATACCAAGATACACCCCGAACCGCAGGTTCCCACCCTCTGTACACTCACCAAGTACAGAAAAAAGGAAACTTCCCCCTTCAAATCAAACAGTCTGGACTTGCGTCTTGAGCTGACTTTGAGCTAGCCAACCTGATAAGAGACTTCTGCGCCTGCTCAGTTCTTTGGCCCGGGAGTAGGGGAAGGGATAATAGTCCAAAACATATAGGATGCTTATTCTGATGGAAGGGTGAATGGTTGCTAGGCAGCCACAGCTCACTGCTACCCGCTGGAGTATCTGTGGGAGAGACTCATGGGTCTCCAGCTAAGAGCAACACGCCACCCAGAAGTCACCCGTGACACTCTGGAGCGACGCTGGGTCCAGGCAGGATTGAGGCCTGGACGACATTTTATTTTGTTTTGTCATTGTATTAAATATTTTAATAATCAATCATTTATTTATATGTGCGTGTACTCACGTGCAGGCGTGTACTCACGTGCAGGCGTGTACACGTGCTCTGGTGTGCTGTGGTGTGTGTGTGTGCAGAGGTCAGGGGACAAGTTTTGGGAGTCCTCTTCCTTCCACCATGGGGGTGCCAGGGATCAAACTCAGATCCTCAGGCTTGGCAGCAAGCACCTTTACCCACTGAGCTACCTGGCTGGCTCTATTGTTTTGAGATAGGGTCTCATATGTAGCCTAGGCTAGCCCCAAACTCATTAGGTAGCTAAGAATAATCTTTAAACTCCTGCCTCCACCCCCGAGGGCCGGGATCACCACGCCTGCTTGCCACTCAAGACCTCAAGGAGGCTGGTATCTACTTGGCCGAGGGGCCCTGCAGTAGGTTTCAAAAATACCCTGATTCTCCCAACATCCCTGAGTTCACAGTCCACGCAGAGTGGCTATTGCAGCGTCTGCCGGCTTGCTGGGCTACCCTGTCTCAAAACATTAAGAAGTAGTTTGGTTTTCTCCCCTCCAATCTGGATTGCTCTTTTCACTGACAGTGAACATGATGGAAGAGTTGGGGTGCTAGTTCTGAGCCAACATCCAGAGACTTGTGTGCACTGATTGGTTAATTGAGACAGAGCCTCATGTAGCTCTGACAACCACGTAGCCTTCTGATCCTCCAACCTCTACCTCCTCAGTGCTGGGATTACAGGCATGCACCACTGATGGCACCCCATTTTATGCAGTGCCAGGAATTGAACCCAGGGCTTCAAGCATGCTAGGCAAGCACTCTACCAATTGAGCCATATCCCCAGCCATGACTTTCTGTGCTTTTGCTTATTTGTTTCCTTGGGCTCTTGCCTCACTTAGAAAAGTGATCCCAGCTTTTGGAGACGGGATGAGCCACCATCTGAGGCTGTCCCTGCTTTCTCTGTGAGAGCTCCAGGTGTGGGAAAGAGCACCGCGTGATCGGCAAAGCCACTTACCTGACTCACACCGATGGCAGAGGTGTGAGGGTATCCATTGAGCCTAGCCCAGATCAGCACGGCCAACAAACCTTGAGCACTAAATGGTTGTTCTTTTAAGCCATTTTGAGTTAAGGTCTTTCATCCCAACTACTTGGGGCCCAACTATAAGTGAATGAATTCAAGGCCAGCCTGGGTAACTCAGCAAGACTCTGTCTCAAAATTTAAAATTTGAGAAAGACTGGGGTTAGAGGTTAGCGGTAGAGCTCTTGCTGAGAATCTACCAATAAGCTGGGGCTTGGCCCAGCAGCACAGTGCTTGTCTAAAACACCCCAGTGACAGGTCCATCCCAGAATACACATGGTGAAATAAAAGAACTGACTTCCTCAGGTTGCCCTCTGACCTCCACATGCCTCCACAGCCGATGCTACCTGATAAATAAATGAATGGATAGAAAAACTTGTTTCAAATAGAATCCCTCAGTGAGGGGCTGAGGGGCATGGCTCAGCAGCAGAGCACCTGCCTGACACGTCCAGAACTGTGGGCTCAATCCCCAGAAATGCAGGGGGAAACGAGGGTAAGGTCAGTTTGTTACACAGCACCGCTGTAGCAAACGGCACTGATAACAGACACAGGCATGTCAAGGAGGAACCCTAGCCAGCGCTTGGCTTGTCAAACTGCATCTAGTGGCTGAATCTTTAGGGACACGTGCTTCTAGCTTCAGGAAAATGCTACAGAGTTCTACCTGGGCCTGGGGATCTTGCCTGGTGGAATCTGTAATCTGTGGGTCTCACAGAGATCTAATTTAATTTTTTTTTTCTTGCAGTTCTGGAGATTGAACATTGGAGGCCCGTGCATTCTAGGTAAGCATTCTGCCACTAACTACATCTCTATCCTCCTCTTCCTGTTTAGTTTTTATTTCAAGGAGTCTCAGTAAGTTATTCAAGCAAGGCTTGTATTTCCTATTGCCCTGCTTCGGCCTTCTGAACAAACTATGACTTCTTTTTCTTCTCCCCCTCTTCCTTCTTTTTGAAACACAGATTCTCTGGGTAGCTCTGGCAGTTCTGGAACTCACTCTGTAGACCAGGCTGGCTTCAAACTCTTAGATCCACCTGCCTCTGCCTCCCAAGTGCTGGGATTCAAGGCGTGTGCCACCACGCCTGGCATAAACTGTGATTCCAGATCTATTAGAGATTTTAAAAATATATTCTACTTTATTTATGTGTGCATATGTGCCTGTGTGTAGAGGTGAATAGGTCAGAGGACAATTTGCTCTTCCTTTCTACCCCGTGTACATTCTGGGGCGCGAACTCTAATAGTCAGGTTAGTGGCAAACATCTTTACCCACTGAGCCATCTCTCCTGGCCTACACCAGGGATCAAAACTTTCTTATTCAGGTTTATTTATTTCATGTTATATGTATGAATGCTTTGCCTGAATGAATGTGTGTGCATGCTTGGTGCCTGTGGAGGTCAGAAAATGGTATCAGAAGACTCCCCTCTCCATAAAACAAACAAACAAACAAACAAACAAACAAACAAACCCAAAAATCAATCTGGAGTTTGTGAGCCACCATGTGGTGAGATTCAAAACCCAGTCGCCTACAAAAGGAACAAGAGATGGCTGTTAGCTGACCCATCTCTCCAGCCCCCAATTAAGGTCTGTTTAAAAAACAACAACATATGTATCTGGGTGTTTTACCTATATGTATGTCCAGGCACTGTATGTGTTCAGTGCCTGTAGAGGCCAGAGTCAGATCACCTGGACCTGGAGTTACAAACGGTAGTTGTGAGCTACCGTCTGGGTGCTGGGAATTGAACATCGGTCCTCTGGAAGAGCAGCCAGTGTTTTGAACCACCAAGCCCCTCTGCAGCCCCTCAGCAGGGGTTGTGTGACACCCTTTTCTAGGGGCAGAGGTGCCGGGTACTGTGTACAAGCTGCATTGCTGGGGAAAAGTCTATGCCCACTGCCAGGTTCCGCCTTCACACACACATCTTGGTTCAGATCTTCTTATGAGATGGATGGGCATAAAAAAGGAACAAGAAAAGAGCACACACTCGAAGACGAGGGCTGGGGAAGACTCTGAAATACCAAATGTGGGCTGGGGACATGGCTCATGGCTCGGTAGAGTGCCTGCCTAGCATGTATGAAGCCCTGGGTCCCACTCCTAGCACTGCATAAATCTGTTGTAGTGGTGCATGCCTGTAATCCCAGCACTGAGGAGGTGGAGGCAGGAGGATCAGTTCAAGGGCACCTTGTCCACAGAGTCTGAGAACGGCCTGGTGAACATAAGACTCTAACCAAGAGAAAAGAAAAGAAAGTCGGGTGCGAGGGCCTGTGATCCCGGCACTCGGGAGGCAGAGGCAGGCGGCTCTCTGTGAGTTCGAGGCCACCTTGGTCTACAAAGTGAGTCCAGGACAGTCACAGCCAGGGCTACAGAGTGAAAGCCTGTTTCAAAAACAAAACAAAACTTCCAAAACAAAATATGAAAGAAAAAAGAAATAAGAAAAGAGAAGAGAAGAGAAGAGACAAAGGGTTCCAAGTCCTGTCCAGCACTGGCTATTTGATTTTAGAGGGAGAAAAAAAAAATCTGAGGGCCAAAGAGATGACTCAGCACTAGGAGTACTCAGCTCACTCCCACCTGTCACTCCTGTTCCCAAGTCCCTCTCCTGCCTCCGAAGACACCAAACTCATGTGGTCAAACCCACCCATGGATGTACACATAGAATTCATTTTTTAAAATCCAAGATTTGAAAAAAAAAAAAAAAAAAAAAAAAATCCAAGATACAGAATGAAAGCCCACTCAAAATTTTCCAGAAAAAGTCATATGAAGAGCTGGATGCTTTATAATCCCAGCATTAAGGAGGCTGAGGCGGACTGCCACAGGTTTGGGGCTAGCCTGGACTACAGACACCCAGTCATCACTAAATAACGATATAAATTAAAATAAAAGTCAAACTGGGTTTTGAGGTACATGGCTATCATCTTAGCAACTGGGAGGTAGAGGCAAGAGGATTCAGAGTTCAAGGACAGCCTAGGCTACATGAGACACCACCTCAAAAGAAATTACAAGGGCTGGAGGCGTAGTGTGATGTAGAACACTGACCTAGCATGCGCAGGGCCTGGGGTTTGAATCCCAGGAATATAAAATAGATCAATTAAAAAAGTTTAAAACAGCCAGCAAGGTGGCTGGCTCCCCAGGTAAAGGCACTCGCGGCCGAGTCCAAAAGTTGTCCTCTGACTTCCACACTGTGGCACACACTTGTGCGTACGTATTTAGGAGAGAGAAAGACCCAAAGAGGAACAAAACAGGGGTGTGTGTCTGCTGCATCTTATTGCAGGATCCGGGGCTCAGAGCCCCGGATACAAGTGATGGGAATTCTGTTGATCACCCCCCATGCAGACTCCAGGCAACTCCCATCTGTACCCCGGACTTACACAACGCTGCCTTGGGGATCCCATATGTCCCGGATTGTGTCATCTGCCCCGAACCTGCCCTGCTCACACCACCTGATCTACTGAAACGTTACTGCTATCCAAGTGGGAAATGCAGTTGGCCACCAAATCAGCGTCACTGCCCCATCTAGCCATTTCCATGGCCTTTGCGCCCCAACCTTTAGGATTCCCAACGGCTCCACCCGGACTCTGACTATCACTAACTAGGATCTGAGCTGGGATGAGTAAAACCTAATGCTCAGGGCCACTGAGATGGCTCAGTGGGGAAGGACGCTTGCTGCCGAGCCTGATGACCTGGTTTCAATATCCAGGCCCCACGGGTGGGGCGGGGAGGGAAGGAGAGAGGCAACTGAGGTAAGCTGTCTTCTGACCGGCACATGCTCTGGGCACACCCCTCCCATCTCACCTCCACACACATTCAAACACCGAAATCCCTCCATTTTGGCCAAGCCAGGAGGCACAGGCCTGCCATTCCAGCTACTGTGTAGATGAAAGTGGAAGATGTGAAAGTGCAAGGCCTGCCCGGGCTACAGAGGAAGTTAAAGGTCAGCCTGAGTAACTGAGAGGTGTCTCAAAAAGTAAAGAGAGGGCGGGGGTTGTAGCTCAGTGGCAGAGTGCTTACCCAGTATGTTCAAGGCCCTTGGTTCATTCCCTTAGTGCCACAATGCCAGCACTGGGGAGGCCTGGGCAGAAGTTGGAGGCCAGCCTGGGCTACATAGTGAATTAAAAGGCCAATCTGTTATATAGTGAGACCTTATGAGAGAGAGAGAATATATGGAGCATGGTGGCACATGCCTATAATCCCAACAATTGGGAGGTAGAAGCAGGAGGATCAGGAGTTCAAGGTTATCCTTGACATAGTGAGTTTGAGGCCAGCCTGAGCTACACAGGTCCCTGTCTCTCAAAAAATAAAATAAATTCATAAAAGAAAATAAAACCTAGATCCAGTGGTCTGATTGACAGTGTCTCTTCAGCCTTCAGTCCTTCTCAATATCTGTTCTCTCTCCTGTCCCATGCTGCCACACAGCCAACTGCAGCCTCTACGCCCTCTGTTTCACCATCTTCATCTTGCCTGCCCTTCTTCCTCCAGCGGCCGGCCTTGATCTTGAAGGCTCTCTGGTGCTGGCTTAGCGGATTCACCCCAGAGCGTCCATCTCTGGTCTAGAGCCCACTCTAGCAAACTGAAGAAATAACTCTGTTCATCCCTGGAAGCATGCTCCCACCGAGCCACAGACACTGGCTCCAAGCCAGCAGCCTCTTTGCAAGCCACCCTCAGGTGGAGCGTCCCCTGACACACAGCAGCATTTTATTCACCATTGTGGGCATCGAGGTGGGGAGTGGCCAGAGGAAGCCAGGGGGGTGTCTGGGAGACCAAGGCGGATGGGCAGAAGAGGGCCAGGTGGAGCTCAGCAGCTGAGGTAGCTGAGTCACATGGCTGCGGCCCCCACCACACCCAAGCCCTTCCTGCAGCCAAGACGCAAGATCAAGCAAGTACCCTGGACCCTGTGACATCCCTCTGAGGTGCAGCTTCCAGGGCTGGTCTCCGTGCTTGGACTGCAGAAGGCGATCGGTGGCAGGTATCACCAGGCCAGGGGTGAAACCATCCCAGAGCTGCGCGGGCCATCCCCTGCCTGCAGGTCGCTGAGCGCTCTCTGGAGATGGGGAGGAGTGGTCAGTGGTCCCAGCATCCGGCTGACACCCTCCCCGCCTTTTCCCTGCTGGTGCTGATGGCTCCATCCCACCAGAGACAGGGGATCCTTTCCCAGTGAGATTCGGATTCTGGGAGGGTGCTCTCCTGGCCCCACCTCCCGTCAGCCTTCACCTTCCAGCCTCCAGCCTTGCTCACCTCAAATTTGCTCATGAATTCTGAAAAGATGCCAAAGAAGGCCTCTGAGGTAGTGGCCTTGGAGTCCTCTCCGAAGAAGGCCAGTGCTTTCCCTAGCTCCTCCATGGCCTCCCGCTGCAGCCCGTCCAAGGCTCGCAGAGCTGGCTGCGCTGTTTCCAGAAAGGACTACAGGACCTTAGTTAAGAAAACAGCCCCTCCTTTGCTGGACTGTGACCCCAGATAACCCTAGCTGCTCCACTCCCTGTCTGCGCTGATGGAATTTCCTTACTGCAGGCAGAGAACTATGTCTTAAACCCCACGCCAACCCCAGGCAGTCACAGGTTCCAGGCCACTGGTCCTTAACTTCACGCATAATTAATTCACATTCTGTAAGCCTCCGACTTCCCCCATTCTCTCCACAAGGGGACACTATCTTCTCCGGATACTGCTTAACAGTTTCTTGACCCTTGTTTGTTATTTGTTTTGTTGGTGGTGGTAGTTTGTTTAATTTTTAGACAGGATCTCATTATGTAGCCCAGGCTGGCCTTGAACTCCAGATCCTCCTAAGAGCTGGGATTCCAGCTCTGAGCCTCACTTTTGCCCACTTCTCAGACCACTCACTTGGACTGACCCTGTCTGTCTGACACTTTGGTTTCTGAGTTTGAGACGGCATTTCTTGTAACCCAGGATGTCTAGGAACTACCTAAAAAGCTGAGTATGACTTTTGAATTCCTGATCTGCCTACCTCTCTACTTCTTCCTAGGTGTGCGATACCATAGCAGCCCCCCTCTTGGTTTTCTGAGACCTCTTTTTCTTTTTCTACTCTCTTTTTCTTTATTCCTTCCTTCTTCCCTCCCTCCCTCCTTCTTTTTGTTTTCTTTGTTTTGTTTTTTTCCAAGACAGGATTTCTCTTTGTAGCCCTGGCTGTCCTAGACTTGCTTTGTAGACCAGGCTGGCCTTGAACTCACAGAGATTCACATGCCTCTGCCTCCCAAGTGCTGGGATTAAAGGCGTATGTCACCACTGCCAGGGTCTTTCTTTTTTCTTAATTACATTTTTTTCCCTAGTTCCTGTTATTAACGAAAACAGTTCATTGTTTCTGTCCTCCAAGGGTAAGCTTGTGCCCTCTACAGATCTGTGAGATTTAAGACAGTATCTGCCACACTGTAAGTCCTGGAAAACCCTCAGTGGCCCTGATTCAAAGTGTACAGTTCAGGGGGAGAGCAATTATTTAGTACTCAGAAGGCTCTGGATTCAGTCTCCCCAACACCTCTCTCACCTTGCTTTTGGCTTATAACGCCTGAGTGGCCAAGCTTCTCCTATCTCTTGTGATTTAATCTGGGCTCCATCACCCTTTAGGACAGATAGTTGTCAACATGTCAGTGACTTTGGGCTATGGGTAGGCCTGGTGGTAGAGACCAGACACTTGGGAGGACAAGGCCAGAGAACTCTTCAGTTCAAGGCCTGCTTGGGCTACAGAGTGAGGCCAGCCTGGGCAACCTAGAGAAACTCTGTCTCAAAAGAATAATGAAAGGGGAGGAACTTGCTATATATCTTGCCTCGCATGTCCATTGTCCTGAGTACAATTTTAGCATTAAAAAAAAAAAAAAAAGCACATAAGTAGCTGGAGCTCAGTGATAAAGCCTCAGCCTAGAATCCCCAGTGAGAAGCTTGGGAGTGTAGTTCGGTAGTCCAGTGTTTACCTAGAATCCCCTAGTGAGAAGCTGGGGTGTGGCTCAGTGGTAGAGCCCCTGCCTAGAATCCCCCAGTGAGGGGCTAGAGTGTGGCTCAGTGGTAGAGCACATGCCTAGAATCCCCCAGTGAGGGTTCAGTGTGTGGTTCAGTGGTAGGGCTCCTACCTAGAATTCCCCAGGGAGGGGCTGGGGGCATGGCTTGGCAGTAGCATACTTGATGGAAATCCTCTAGCGATGTGCTGGCAGCATGGCTTAGCAGTTGAACATATGCCTGCATGTTTGAGGCTGTGGGTGCAACCCCCAGTATCACAAACACAGAAATGAGCGCCATCCTCAGCTACTCAGCTTTTCATAACCACTTGGACACACGGTGACTTCCGCCTGGAACTTCTACAAGAGTCTACACTGACCACTAGTGTGGACCCAACCATCCCAGAGCCCAGTTCCATTCTGGAAGGGGTTGATTAGAGGATACAGCCATGACCACAGCAAACCTGTCCTCACTGGAGGGGGACATGCTCTGACAGGCCACCTGGATCTCACTAACAGTGCCATGGAGGTCGGCCAGGTCACCGCTCAGGGCTCGTTGGTTCACTGCACATAAGGAGAGGAGCAAAGACTTGTGGGGGCTGCACTCCCCAGCTCAGGGCAGCATGCCCCTGCCTCCCCCAGCCACACACCCAGCCTACCTTTGGCGGCCAGGGGCACGGTGGGCAGATCCTGAGCAAAGCCCAGGAGCTCAGGGAAGTGCTGGCTCAGTGATTTGGCAAGGATGTGCAGAAAGGTGGACTTCCCATCCACGGTCTTGGTGGAGTTTAGCTGCAAGGGATGAGCAGCAGCTCCTTAAAGCCCCCAGCAGACTTCTGGTCACATGACCCCAGGCTTTTCTGTATTCCCAGAACTCTCAGCCTTTCATACTCTTTCCAGCTTCCCTCCCCACTCTACTTTTCTGGATCCTAGAGCTGGGCTCTGGACTCCTACTGAGTCGTGTGCAGCCCCCACCCAGGGGAAGAACTTTGTGAGCATGACGTTTTCTTCTCCCCTGTTAAAACACTTTTTGTTTTACGAGCCAGGGTCTGATTTCGCCCACGCTAGAACTCCTGATCCTCCTGCCTCCACCTTCTAAACGCTGGGACTACAGGCGTATGCCACCACACTTGGCTTTGCTACCGTGACTTGATTTAGGCTTGTCTTCCAAGTCTGGCAGCTAGGGCAAGTGACTGCGGGGCTCTCACCTCTGTCAGGAAGTTGATCTTGAAGCCGGTAGTCTTGTTGGTCTTAGGCTGTCCATCGTTGAGATAGTTACCCATGGCCAACACAAACTGTGGGAAGAAAAGTTGGGGTGATCAAAGAGAGAGGCTCAGCCCAACCTATCCATCCCCACGGCCAGGAGCCGCAGGAGACAGGAGAGCAGATTAACCAAGCAGGGGTGAGAGGCTCCCTGACCTCCAGGATCTTGGCGAGCTTCCGGCTGTTTTTGAGCTCCAGGGACGCCTGTCGCAGGCACTCTAGGCTGCCTCGTATCTCCTCGGTCTTTTCCTGTAGGGTGGCCTGGAAGTGTAGACTGCGTAGGCGGGTCTTGTATTCGGGAACCGACAGCATCTGCAGCAAAGTCAGGGGCCAGGATTCACCCATCCCCCGCCAGGACCTTCTGCCCAGCTTTGGGGAGGAAGTCCTCTGACTGCTGAGCTGGGTATCCCTTAGCACGACCCTAAAGGGAGGTTCTCATCCGGCTTGTCCTGGCTCCGGGTGGGAACAGGGGCAGTCCTCACGAAACAGAAGCCAACTTCTGACTGTGGAGGTAGCAGAGGCAAAGGGGCCTTTAGCCACGGCGGGGGAGCTCCGGGGCCGGCCTTGGCACCTGCAGGACGAACTGGTCCGGCTCACTGAGGCGGCCCGGAGCCTCGCGGAAAGCCTGGTAGCGCTGCTCCTCGTCGGCGTCCGGAGCGAAGAGCAGCAGCTGCGCCAGATGCGCGGGCTCCAGGCGCCGGGGCTCCATGCTCATGAGCACCTGTCGCAGCTCGCCAGGGGTCAGCTTCAGGTGCGCTAGGAGGATGGCTGCAGGTAGGGCAGCAGGGTGAGACCGCCGGGCCGGGAAGAGGGCGGAGCCCAAGGGAGGGGCGGGGCCTCATGGCAGAGTAGGGGCTTGATGATTGGGCGCGGCTACGGGGCGGAGCGTAGTGAGGACACGGGAGGAGGGGCCTGAGAGAAGTGCCTAGCCGAGAAGGGCGTGGCATGAGAGTAGACCGAGACTAAGGGTCTTGGGGACTGTCAGGTGAGGGGCGGGATGGGACTTGTGAGCGGGGCAAGGAAGTAGAGAGGGACGAAGTGATGGTAGGCTGGGCCAAAGCCAAGGAATCCATTGTGGTGGGTGTGGCCAATAGAGGGTGCAAAGGCACTGAGTCCAGGTAAGGGGATACTGCTACCCAGAGAACAGGCCTTCATTTAATTTTAATCTCCCCACCCCTTTGCGGGTCTCAGCTTCTGTGGCCCTGTGGGCGGGGTCCCTAAGGCTTCTCACAGGTATTGTAGGCCTTCTTGTGGGACAAGATCTCCACCACTTCCTTCTTCCTGAAGGGCTCCGGGCCTGGCACTGGCTCTGGAAGGGAAACTATACAGTTTAATGGGGAATGGGAAGCTAGACTAGGGCTGTGGCAGGGCCAAGGGAGAGGTGTGCTCACAACCAATGGTCAAGGACCCTCTTCCCGGCCTGCGTCACCTGAACTACATCAGATCCAGGCACCCAAACTCCTCTCCTTCCTCAGCCTTTCATTTGTGGACCCCAAGATCCAGCCTAAGGCCTTTAACACGGGGTTGTCCGATCCCACACTGCTGTCTCCTCACAGGCCCTCCTCCCTGCACCCTTCAGACTGAACAATGAAACACAACAACTTTCTGAGTTTACGCTGCAAACGAGAACAGACTGCTTGGAGTCACACTGGACCGAGACAAGGAGATACCCAGAAAGGACGAGGGGGGGCAGGAGTCTGAAAAGGCTACTCATAAATGCCTTCTGCCCACCTTCTCCTGGCTTTGGGACTTTGTGCGAACTACCTGCCCTCTCTGGGCTTCCTCATTAAGAAGTGGAAGCGGTTCTAGGATCTAGTTTGCAGGATTGTCAAAGAGTCACACATGCAGAAGGACTTGAAGGTTGGAGACAGAACAGCATGATCTGGGGGCCGGAAGCCAGAGGATGCCCAGAAGGCAACAGACAGTGTGGCTTGTCCACATGGCCCAGGGCCGTCGGGCCACTCACTTGATGGTTTCTGGGTGCCAAAGTGGAGCTCCAGGTCCAGGTATTTCACCATGTCGCTCAGCTTATCATAGTCAGAGTCCTCCCCAAGCTGCAAGGGATCATGGGAAAAGTTCAGAGCAAGAAGAGCCCAGGCAGCTAGTCTGCCTTTGTCCTCCGAGGTCCATTCTGGAGTGTGCAGGAAGCACTAAATAGAAGATGGATGTGTGATGCCTTTAACCCTAGAACTCAGGAGGCTGTGGTCCCTGTGAGGTCCAGGGCAGCCTGGTCTACACAGTGAGACCTTGTCTCAAAAAAAAAAAAAAAAAGTAAGAAAGAACAAAAGAAAGACAAGACAACAAAGAGAGAGGCTACAAACAGGGCTGGAGAGATGGCTCAGCACTTAAGAATACTTGCTGCTCTTGCAGAAGACCCGAGTTTGGTTCCCAGCACCCACATCAGACAGCTCACAACTGTGAGCTGGTAACTCCAGCTCCAGGGTACCTGACACCCTCATCTGGCCTCCGAGGGCACCTGCACTGGTGTGCACACATCCACGTGCGCACATATACTTTTTTTTTAAAAGAAAGAAATGTTGCATAATCCACATTATAAGCTGAGAAACCCACTCCCCTTCCTGTCAGTAAGGCAGTCATTCTTGGCACTCTATCCCTGAGGAAGGAGGCTGGAATGGGAGAAGCAACCAGTGACAATCAAGAGGGCTGGAGACCTGAGGGGTCTTCCTGTTTTAAAGTCTCCTTGTGTGGATGTCTGGCATATGTGCACAAGCATGCCAGCGTGCACATGCATGAAGCTCGTGGTAGACTTCAGGGGTCTTTATCCTGCTGCGACACTTTTTGAAACATGGGTGCTAGGGACTTGAACTCAGTTCCTCATGCAAGCGCAAGTGCTCTGTCCTGCTAAGCTATCTCTTCAGGTCCATCTACCTTTTTTTTTGGAGATCATCTCTTCAGCAAACCAAGAGCTCTACCAATTAGCTAAGTTAGCTGGCCAATGAGCTTCAGGGATCAGTCAGTCTCCTCAGCACTGGGGCTGCAGATGGGTTGAGCTGGGTGTAGTGGCTCATTCCTATAATCCCAGCTCTTGGGTGGGAGGGGGACGTTGAGGCATGAGAATTACCATGAGTTAAAAAAAGAAAGAAAGAACCTAAGACAACTAGTCCAGCCTCAAGAGGGATGTGTTTTGCAGGAGGACAGGGTGGCATTTCCAGAGCCGCCCACTGTGTTTCTGACTTGGGGACACCTGTCTTTGGGAAGGCTGTTACTTCTCTGCTTGGGGTGAGATGAACCACGGAATATTCCACTGATGTTAGAGGAGGCCAGGAACTGGTGAGATGGCTCGGCAGCTAAAGGTCTTTCACTTGTTTGACGACCTGGATTTATCCCTGGGATTTATGTGATGGAAAGAGAACTGGCTCCTACATGATGCTCTTTGACCTCCACACCCACGCCTCCCCCACTAATTTAGTAAATGTAATTTAAAAAAAAAAAATCCTGAAGAAGAGGAGGAGGGGGAAAAAGAGGAAGAGAAGGAGCGGTCAGGAAATCAGTGTTACGGTCCACACCACTCACCCACTCTTCTCCGGGTCACCTACCTGACCCCAGATGGTGCCTTCTGAGTTCTCCACCTGCTCCCAGCGCAGTCGCTTGACGCTCATGTGGCTGGTCTCGCTGCGGCGGTGGCCCACGCCCCGGGACAGCATGGGGGGCGCACAGGGCACAGGTGGGGGCAGGGGCGGTGGGGGCGGGGGCGGGACTGGCTGGTTAATCTGGGTGAGGGGTTTGGTCAGCGACGGAGGGGGACCTCGGGGGCCATCGGAGGTGCGGGAGCTGGGTTTGGGGTCGTGGAAAGGCAGGGGCGGCGGCGGCGGGGGACTGAGCGGGGGCGGGGGGATGTGGTCGGAGATGGAGGAGTAGGTCAGAGAGCTGCCCTCCTCGCTGCTGCTGACACACTCGCTAGCGCTGCTTCTCTCGTTGGTCACAAAGCTGCCCTGGTCGTCGTGGAAGCTCATCTGGAGAGAACAGGGCGAGTGGGAAGTGAGCCTGCAGCCCTGCAGGCAGGAGCGGGGGCATGGGGGCTGAAACCGGCTGAAACCGGCCAGCAGCGGGCTAGGGCCTGACGGTGTGAATGGGCTAGCCTGAGGTGCGTGGAGGACAGACTGGGACAAAGAAGGGGCTGGTCTGAGACACAGTAAGCGGCTAGGGATAACATTAGGGAGAAGATCGGGTAGCCTAGGGAGGGGTCCAGAAGTGATTGGTGGTTTGGCCCGTGTGCCTGGGTATTCTAATATGGGGAATGGGGTAAACTGAGACAAAATATGTACAATAGCAAGGGTGGGAATCACTTGGGACAGCTCCAGACATGGAACAGGGTAGCCCGAGACAGGCTCCAGCAAAGACTGGGGCAGGAGCGAAGCAGTTTGGGGCAGGGCGTAGCGAAACTCGCCTCCTGCAGGCCCTGGGGGACCCTGCAGGCTCTACAGCCCTCCCTGGCCACACCCACTCGCAGGCCCACCTCCTCATAGTCATTCTCGGGTGTCAGGAAGTCGTCCACGATGGTGACCCGCGGGCCCAGCTGCTCGCTCAGCACGTCCAGGAAGCGATCTGTGTCCCGGCTCCTCACAGGCCGGGAAAAGGCGAAGAGCTTCCTGCGACTGGGCGGCCGGATGGGGTCTGGGCTTGGGGGGCTGTCGGGGTGGATGGATCCAAGGCCTGGCTGTGGGGAAGGCGCCCTGCTGCTGTCCAAGCTGGCGTAGGGGTGGGACTCGGAGCTGCTGGGGGAGGCCAGGCCTCCAGAGCACAGAGGATCGTAGCAGGGGGATGGCAGGAGCTGCTCACTGGGCCAGGAGACTCCAGACAGCGTCCTGGGCCCTTGATTGGTGGTGGAAGGAGAGGAAGCCCATCAACCAGTGAGCAGCGTGGGGTGGGGCAGGGGTCAGCTGTCTGTCCCAGGATGTGCTTTCTATCTACTGCCTCCAGACCCCCCCCCCCAAGGTAACTAGAGACCACAGTGGGTGGAGAAGACTCCGGTTCATGCCATACCCCTTCTCCTCTGGGTACCTATTCCAAAGGTCTTACCGGAACCCACGAAGGATCTTCCCACAGGCTTCAGGCAAGGACCACCCCCGTCCAGCAAGCCTCAGACCACACACAGGAGGCTCATAGGGTCTGGGAGGATCTGCCTACCCCCGGGGCTTTGCCTATCCAGGCCAGCACTCTGTCTGTCAGTGAGTTCTATCTCTCTCTCTCTCTCCTTTTTTAAAGTTTTGAGGCGGGGTCTTGTTAAATTGCCCAGGCTGGCCCTACCCTCATTCTGCAGTCCAGGCAGGCCTAGAACTATGATCCTCCTGCCTCGGCTTCCTGAGTAGCTGAGATGACAGGACTGTGCCACAGGCAGAGCGGGTCTTGCCGAGACGGCAGAGAAGCTAGTTTCCCAGCTACAGCCTGCACACAGCATACATATGCTTTACAGCCTGTCCAAGAGCCACATGCTAAGGTGACTTGTTTGGAGGACACTTTGCTTTTCCAGCTGGGGTGAAGGCCACAGAGGACAAGAGAGGGGCTGGGACGCGCCAACCTTGATGGCCCGTCTTGATGGCACACTCTATGGCTCAGCCGCACACCCTCTAGGGATGTGCCTGGGAGGAGGGACTGAAGCCGGTACCCCGTCAGGACCAGAGGCTGGCTGAGGCCGTACCTGCTGTGCCTACCAGGCTGGGGACTGGTGGAGAGGCTCGGGATTTGGACACCGTCCCCATCTTCCCTTTGAAGCTGCTGTTCAGTCGAGACTCAAGCTCCGCATAGACAGCCGACATCTAGGGAGCAGTGAAGAAGAGTCAGCCTTCTCCTACTGCTTCCCTGCCATCTCCGTAGGACCTCAGAGACGATGCATTGCCAGCTTGCCCCAGCTTGAAACAGCCCACGCTCTGGCCACGCAGCCCATGCTCATCTGGTAGGCAGAAAGCTCTCACCATTTTGGGGTTGGGGGTCTCCGGGAGGGATGTGCCATCACCAGCCTGACGCTCTCCTGGGATCAGAGGTAGGGGCATCTCAGGGCAGTCAGCGGGACCTGCCAGGAAGGTGCCATGGAAACCTCGTTATTATATCTGAACTCTATGGCTCCATCCAGACCTGCCTGGCCCCCACTCAGCCTCACTAGCCCCCGATTTCCTCAATGTGCTGATTAGTCTAGGTTGTCATCCCAGTGGGTTCTGGAATCAGCTCAGTCACATTTCTGGGTGGGTCTGTGAATGTATGGCCTGGAGGGATTAACTGGGATAAGAAGAGTCATCTACTCCAGGGTGGGCAGGGCCTTCCTGAAGCAGCTCAGATATAAAGAGATGATTGGAAGACAGTGTTTTGCCCGCCTGCCTTTCCTCCTTGCTGGCCAGTGCATCTGTTCTATTGCTGCTGTGGCTGCTGCATCCATCAGAACCCGGATTCTTCAGGCTCCCAATGTAGACAGGATCAGCAGCTCTTTGGAATCCTCCGGGCCTTCAGCGCTGAATGGGGACTGCTGACGCTGACAGCTCAGGGACTGAGCAGCTACTGGGCGCCCAGCCTCTCCAGCATGAGATGGCCATGGTTGGACTGCTCATCCCTGATCGCAAAAGCCAACCTAAGAAATCCCCTTTGGGCTTGGCACTCACTCTGTGAGCTCCGTCCCTCTAGAGAACCCTGGCTAGCACACTCATCATGTCACTAAGTCCATTTTACAGAAGAGGGAGCAGCCCCAGCCTTTCCACGTGCGGCCTTACCACAGCTGAGGCTGGCTTCCAGGCCCTGGGAGCGCAGGCTGTGACGGCACATGGAAGAGGCCCTAAGGGAACTCCGTGGTTGTGGCTCCGGTGTGGGCTCTGGTGTGGACTCCGGCTCCAGGTCCAGTGAGGATTCAGGTTCTGTGGTAGGGCAGGCAAGGTTTGACATGAGGCCCTTGTCAGCTTCCACAAGCAAGGGAAGAAAGGAAAGAAACCATAACCAATATGTCCTGCCAGGCTCTGGGACCTTCCCACCTTGTCCCCAGGGTAACAATACAGTAGTGGTGAAGATAAAACCCATCTTCAAACCATGTTTTCCAAGAGCCCTACCACTGAGCCACACCCCAGCCCCTCACTGGGGGATTCTAGGCAG